CTAATAATTAAATTAAAAATGAAATTGAATGAAAATGAGAGAGTGAGTGCGCGTTTGACAATTGTACGACCGGTGTTTATGCATTTCACCATCGTATGAGAGGCAAATTGTTGTTCATCCAGCGCTTGTCTGGATGGAAAATACGTACGCCACAGACACAATGACTTCGATGATAATAAATTTATTCAATCACGTAAATAAATAAAAGCGGATTCAACAACGCAACAGAACGATACGAAATTCAATTATTTATGCAAAACACACATACACACATCTGTACGAAGTACCATATAATGCGAATACTGAGATATTCGTGCATAAATTCATGTCTCAGGATCTGAAAGAGACGTGAATAGAGATAGAGTATTTTGTAAACGAGCGAATGGCTGAATGAATTTAGAATGTTGGCAACCGATGCCGAGATGAGAATGAACGAAAATCATCATTTGAGATGAGCATGATGTTGATTTGTATCGACATTCATTATAACACAATTGTTTTGTATTTGAATAGAAAAGTGACTCGATAACGACATAACAAACGCATATCGTCCGCCATGCCATAACAAACAAGACGATTGTACGATGCCTTTTATTGGTACATCTCTCACATACCCAACATGACTTATCGCCCATACACTTTGAGCCGTGTGTGATTAGTCATTTTCTCGCTTTCTGACATTCACCATCAAACCAGAGCTCACACAAATACACCACAAGTAGAAAAAAAAAACGAACGAACATTCTCACAACCGGCACAGGATAACTGAATTACTCAACGCAGACAAAGACAAAGTAGAAACAGCAGCAGTGGCAAAACAATGCGTACTACTCTAAGAAGGATCGATATTCATACGTATGTAACTTCATAAAGCGCGTGTGTGCGCGCTCGTTTCGGTAACTTTGCTCGTTCGAACGTTCATTTGGCATGTATTAGATATCACTTGACTATGATAAGATATTCTAATGATTCATACATTTTACTCATGGCCATATCTCTCTCACGCTCTATATTCTATTCATAATTTAATTAGAGCTTCTTCTGATGTTTCAATAAAACCGGCTTCTGAAGTGTCTATGGAATATTCGGTGCTGTCGTTTTGATCGACGGCAACAGCATTTAAGACATCAACATTTGCGTTTGCACAAAAACCTTTCAGCCAATCACAATGGGGAATAAAAAGCCAGTGTAGATGGTATTAACTTTTACATTACAAAAAGGGCTAATGGCCTTTGAGCATCAACTCAAAAAAGAGTGCAGCTCTCGCATACACAAATGAATTTTCTATAATTTCAATTAAAGTATGCAGAATTCAACAACATCTCTCTCACTCTCAAGCTTCTTATAAACTAACTATATTCACAACGCCCGAAAATCTAATTTATGAAATGTTCCAACTATTTACAATGTTCGCAATGCTGTTCCTTCCTTCATTAATTTTATGTAAACGTAAACGCTTTTCGTATCTCACGCTATCATCCATAATAATCATAAGCGAGACCTCGACGCAAATCCAGTACACATATTCGCATTTTATCGCTTTCTCTCTTGCTTTCACTCTATCTATCCATTTCTTGCTCCACTCCACATTCACAAAAGTCATAAGCGAAAATTTAATTGGAAATTTGTATAATATGCGCTCGTTCGTTCACTCGGTTTCAGTGATATGTGTAAGTGAGTGAGTGTGTGTGTGTAAAAAACAACAAAATGAACATAATGTCATTGCAAAGCTTTCTGTCGGACCGCAACCACATAATGGTGAACATGCTTATACAACGAATTCGAAATGGATTTCCTTATCGTTTGCAAAAAATCTCAAGAAAATGCGCTGTGAATACGGCATGAACAGTGCTACATTGACCGGATGCTCGATGGGCAATAGTGTGTGGTTCCAGCTGTGTAAAAGCATAGATGATCTAAAAAATGAATTTCATTTGAAACACCATCACCACCTCTCATCTCACAACACCCACATTTCTCTCCCTTCGAAACACTAATTTTGAACTGCAAAAGCTCAACTCATATGGCGATTTTGTGTACATGTGGCGCACCCCAACAAAATTCCATCCATATTGGTGATAGAGAATGCCTTGTCTGGGAATTGAATGAAAAATATACGCATAATCTTCTCCGACACCATCGAAGTCGGTATGAGTATAAATTATACAGCATCTATTTTGTTTCCGTTTGTCGGTTTGATATTTGGCAAGAATTCAACCAAACTCGTTTCTCTCTTTCTTTATCGCTTTCCCTGTTCGGCAATCCAATTTTCATATTGGCGACCAACCGAGCAAAACAACGATTTGTCGAAATGCATTTGAATGAATCTGAATGTGGGTCGATTGCTGTGCTTTCAAGACATATTACGGGTTCATGTGTGTCTCTGGTGTGCATGTGTGAAGAAAATGGTCGTTTACTGCTCACACTTTCATTCGATGAAACGGCCCAAGGAATGCCAGCACTTTAATCTTTTCGATATTTGCCTCTCACTTTATTTTAAAATATTGTCGTCTTGAAAGCATCACTTCGTATCGAAGGCTTTCCAAAATATGATTTCCATTTCCTGACATTTTTCTTTCGGTATACTCTAACATCACTTCATCTCTCTTGTGGTTCCGTTAATCGAACGGTTGATGACTGCCATTTTCCAATAGAAAAACCACATTTTTCACACTTTCTCTCTGTCAACGAACAAAAATTGTCGCTGTTGTGCTGTTTAAAATTTGCCAATTTCTGTTTATTGGAAGAAAAAAAAAATGTATACTTCGAGTTTCACAAACTTAAAGTTGATGGTCGATCTGTTTATTTCGGTTTGGCTTTGCAAGCAAACAGATACACCAATTTTTGTCCATCTTTTTTTTTCTGTTGTCGGTAGACGAACAGCACTTTGTGTGTTTGTACAGTGTTGTTGTAGTGCGTTTAGATTGTACAATGATTTGCATCGTTCATGAGATGGTCGACATGAGTAAACACATCGTTTTCGTGATGTCGATGCACAATACGCGCCAGGCACTATTCAATTTCGTTCGCATTTCGAGTGGTTGTTGGAATTTCCACTTTGCAGCCAACCAAAATGCAAAAGTACATGCGTTTACTTTGGTCTCCAGCATAAATATTGGCGCTCGTCTCATTCCCTAAGTCTCTATCTCTCTCCAATGGTCGCCATTTCTCGGCAAACACAACCCAATAACATATTTATAGTTGCACCATTTACCCAACAACTCTGCACTAAAACCAACTTACTTACACGATAAAATGCAAATAAATTTTAAGCCACGATAAATTTTTTGGTTCGTTGAATGAGCCGGAGTGAGACGAAATTGCATTCATGCAACACAACTGCATTTGGTAATAGTGTTGGCTACTGGGCGCATCCGATGACTTGAGACGAACCGAAAATATGGAAACTGCAATCGTCCGGGCTGATGCATTTAATTTTAATTCGCTCCATATATCCCACCATGGCTGCCGTTTTGCTTCACAAAAGGCCATTTGATAAATGCACATACATGCACTATCGCCGAGTTAGTTGCTGAAGTGATAAATGTTTTACGTTAATATATGTTCAAAATGCATGTTCGGCTTGCATAATAATGGAGAGTTTGCTGTGCGGTGGAAGAAGAAGGGCGAAGGGGAGAGGGGACAAGAGAAAGATATAGACCACCCACTCTTTTACAAAGAATTTTCGTTTTCAATTTACCAATTACATTCTCCATTATGCACATTTTCGTTTGTTGGCGTTTGGGCGAGCGCACATCCGCATCGCTAAGCATTCAGAAACGGAAATCGATATTGATATCAAATTAATGGTGAATTTTTGTTTGCATCATGCAAATATTATTCAAAATAAACTTCAATGGTTGGCTTTGTTTTAATGACAGTATATGGTGACAAAGGTCGCCAATTTATGCGACCGAGTCGACCGTGTTCATAAACAAGAAAACAATACTTGTGGTGAAGTGTGGCATAACGAACACAGTTGCAATATCATTCCGGCGGTAGCCATTGAGATCGAGCGAGAAAGAGAACCCTTAAGGCTAGACACAAAAGCGTAACAACCTTTTAAAATACACACATAAACAGTTCGCGCGTATGTAAATTCATTTCATGGAAGATTGTATTTTGTTTGATAACAATAAACGAACTCTCATCATATAAGTCTTTTGTTTTCATAATTTTCGGCAACAGACCTCAGCAAAGTTCGTTTGCAATAGCGCTCGCGCACAAATAATCTAACTTTTGTTTTCGACGGTTTTACGCTTAGTTTTTTGTTTGTCTTTTTTTCACTCTTGCCCGCTTTTGAGATTGAATGCAGAGAAAAATAACTTTTCCCCCAGACACATCTGGTGCGGTGAACATTTTTCTCGCACACACACCCAGCACATATATCGACTCTCAAAAAAGTTTCCATTCACAAAAATCGCCTATAAAGCTTTTCGTACACTCCATAATCGATTCCGTAATGACTTTTACTTCGTAACGACGAGAAATCTGTCGAAACATCGTCTATCGTTAAGCATTTTATCCGAACAAAATATTTGGCATATTTATATGAAAACATCGTAAACTTTTGCAAACTGCAAAATTCATAATTTTATTAGTTAACTCGATGCCATCTGTTTGAAAGTTGAATGGTATACGATCGTTTTTAGTATATATTTTTATGGCGAAATCTGCGCCATCGTCGTCTAGCCATGGATTTCATAAAAGTACTCTTCAATGGCTATTTTTTTTCTCTCTCATTTCGTTTTCATACGTGATTGAGTTGCCAGTTGCAGCTGTACTCTCTCGGAAAAAAATGAAACATCCATCGTAATCTTCAGTGTTTTGGTCGGGTGTGTTCATTTACACATTCGTTTTCTCACTTGTCTTTTTTCAGATCTACAACTCAGACAGAAACTTATTAATTTTTTTACGTTGAATTGTGTATATTTATCATACATGATTTGCCAGTTGATTAATTTCAATGTTGAGAAAAGTACGACTAAGAAACAGAATAGTTTCGCAATTGATAATTTTATTTTTGGATTTGGTCGTTTTAGCTTTAGCATCGAACTAATGGCAAATTTCAAAAAATCCATACTTTTATTCAAACAATAGAAATTAAATATTTTTTTGTTTTTAACAAATAGATAATGAAAAATGGAATTTTGATTACAAAAACCGAAACATTGGGTCTATGGTTCTGGTAAACTCTTCAGTTTGTTCCGTCTTTCTTCTTCCGTCACTTCATTTTGTTCCTTTTCTTCTTCTCTTTCTTCGATTTCTTGCATCGCTTTCATTGATTTGTGACCACAGACAAGAGGGAGACCAGCTATCTTACCAGCTGTCTCAATTGTTCTTCCAATTGTTTTCCCCCCGTTTATAACGGCTCGTTCTTGACCGATTAAAGCTGCACCAGCGCACAATTGAGTTGCCTCTGCGGTACCTAGATTACCGCAGGTCACACACGCAAGAGGAGTCATTGCAACTGTGCCAGCGTATCCTATACCAGACATGACCCCAAAGCCAACCGTTTGTACTGCATGTTTTCCTGCCTTGAAACCTGATTTACCAATTGATTTAGCAGTTCGAACAGTACCCTCGCCCATAGCTTTGACAACATTTTTGACGCTTTTTGCTTTACCTACACAATATGAACATCAATAAAATAAATAAAAAATAAAAATTTGTTTAAAATGTTCAAGTCTTGCAAAAATAATTGAACAAATATTATTTTATCTCATTATATGAATCTAAACATTTCTCTACACAATTGAATAATAAAAACTAATGGCTGCCTCCATTTTGGTGGCATTTCTTCAGAATGAATTCGGGAAAAAATCGGTCCTATTTGTCATCTACATCTTATTGGAAATCATTGTACACCTCCTGTAGCCATTCCAAATTTTTCTGCGATACTTAGACTACCGCAAGCCAAACACGCAAGATGGAACAATGCAACTTAATCCAACAATTCATACACACCCCCTTCATAGCCAACAGTACAATGCAAACTATTCTATCGATTCTCTTCTAGTACGATAAACGAGAGCATGTTTTTTCATGGTAAAAATGGTTAAAGAAGAGCACGTATTTCGAGCGATTTAGTTTGTAATAAAAGAGAGTAGGTTTTGGTTCATTTAAATTTTACGAAAGGAGTGTATGTGATTTGGTTAAATTGGCTGGAAGTAAAGGAGAGTACGTTATTAAATTATTCTGGTTGAAATAAAAGTGAGTATGGGCGAAAATAATTAATATTTAACATTTTTAGATCTGAATGTAACAGGCGCGCAGAATCAGCAACATTAAATCTCTTCGTATATTAATACAAAATACTATTTCATAACAGCACGATAACATTAACGGGTGAATGAAACGAATGGAGTCTGTGTTGTCGTCATAGGCACACATAAACAACAATACGTATCAAACCCGAATGAACATGATCTGTGGGCTTGATAAGTCACACAGAGACGGCATTTGCTATTGTCATTGTTTGTTTGTGTTTTTTTTTATTCGCGCAACTGTGTGACTGCTTCTGCGCGCCTATTACATTCGAATATTATTTGATCCGAAAATATTAATTATTTTAACCATTTTTATAATTTTATTTCGATGTAAGTGAATAAATACAAACTCTCCTTTATTATAAACAAATTCAGTTGAACTACATACTCCCCTTTTGCGAAATGGATATGGCCAACAACTTACTCTTTTTAAGTCAAACTAAATACCTCAAACTACATACTCTCTTTTATACATTTTTAACTGTTATGCGACTTACTCCCCTTTTGCTATTAACACAATAAACAAAAGACATACTCTCCTTTTGAAATATTTTCAGCTCAAAAATGACATACTCTCTTCTCGATATTTTCAATAGAATTGATAATTTTATTTTTGGATTTGGTCGTTTTAGTTTTAGCATCGAACTAATGGCAGATTTCAAAAAATCCATACTTTTATTCAAACAATAGAAATTAAATATTTTTTTTTGTTTTTAACAAATAGATAATGAAACATGGAATTTTGATTACAAAAACATTGGGACTATGGTTCTGGTAAACTCTTCAGTTTGTTCCGTCTTTCTTCTTCCGCCACTTCATTTCGTTCCTTTTCTTCTTCTCTTTCTTCGATTTCTTGCATCGCTTTCATTGATTTGTGACCACAGACAAGAGGGAAACTAGCTATCTTACCAGCTGTCTCTACAGTTCTTCCAATTGTTTTCCCCCCATTCAAGATGACTCGTTCTGTACCCATGAAACCTGCCACACCGCACTCCTTAACTACCTTTCCGGTACCTAGATTACCGCAGGTCACACACGCAAGAGGAGCCATTGCAACTGCACCAGCGCATCCTACACAAGCCATGACCCCAAAGGCAGCCGTGCGTGTTGCATGTTTTCCTGCCTTTAATCCTGAGTTACCAATTGATTTAGCAGTTCGAACAGTACCCTCGCCCATAGCTTTGACAACATTTTTGACGTTTTTTGCTTTACCTACACAATATGAACATTATATAATGGCTTTTATTTGAATCACTACAAATACTTACCAGAACCAGCATTTGCGCATGGAACTAGGAGCTGAGAGAATGAAAGTAAAAAAATTAAATAAAAATTGCAGCCAAAATTCGAACCTTGTATCGTCTTTCAGAAAATTACCTCCAAAGTAATAATTGAAATGAAAAACAAGCTTAGCAATTTTCGATTCATCTTCTCTTCACAAGCTTTCACAATCGACTGATGATTTACATCAATTAATTCGGTTTATATTCATTTTCAATAGATACAAATTGTACATTGTACAAAAAAATGTTGAACAATTTTGTTTTTCTTATAAAACAGAATTTCATATAGCGTCACTGCATTTTAACTTCGAAAGGAACCAAAACACCTGTGTGTTTCTACGTTTTGTTTTCTCATTTTCAATACAGAATTGGTTTCAATTTCACAGAACAACTTTTCAAATTTCGGTTATGAGTACATCAATTAATTGGGCTTATATTCATTTTCAATAGAAATAAATTGTACATTGTATAATAAATTTTTTTTTGAACTATATGAGAATTTCATATAGCGTCATTCCATTTTCATTTTTCACGACACTTCTCACGACATATTACAAATTTTTTTTAAAAGAATTTATGCAAATACGTCACATAAAATAAATAAAAAATAAAAATTTGCTTAAAATGTTCAAGTTTTGCAAAAATAATTGAACAGATGTTATTTGAAATTTTTATGAAGTCATTCGATTCGAGTTGTTTTTATAAAGTGCGTAGTACTTTTTATGAATATTTTCAAAAGTCATTTAGAGTTTTATACTCTTGCATAGAAATTTCTAGGCTCATTCTATGAATATAAACGTTTCTCTACACAATTGAATAATAAAAACTAATGGCTGCCTTCATTTTGGTGGCATTTCTTCAGAATGAATTCGGGAAAAAATCGGTCCTATTTGTCATCTACATCTTATTGGAAATCATTGTACACCTCCTGTAGCCATTCCAAATTTTTCTGCGATACTTAGACTACCGCAAGCCAAACACGCAAGATGGAACAATGCAACTTAATCCAACAATTCATACACACCCCCTTCATAACCAACAGTACAATGCAAACTATTCTATCGATTCTCTTCTCGCTTGACTCTCTTTCTCTCCAAATGTGCTTTTCCTGGAAGCATCAAAACATAACAGCTCCACCACTGCCACAACTTACACAAAAGTTTTAGATTTGATGTAACAAATTTATTTTTCAAGTAACACAAAAAATAGAGCATTAACAGAAACTCGCTTATAAATGATCAAGACCCATATCAGTTTTGACAGGCAAACTTATGTAGATCAACTCATAATACCCGTTTACGAACCAAAACACAAAAACCAAAACGACTCAGAGTTAGGTTATTTTTTCCTTTTCTCATTGTGGAAATCCATACGTCGTTCAGTGGCAAGCATAATAATGAAAACGGAGTTTCTTTTTTCTCGCTTTTCATACACAAACGTACGCTTTGCGCTACAAAGCATAACAGAAAAAGTTCATTCAAAAGTTCATTTCGTTGGGCGATTTTTTTCCATCTCGGATATTTCGTCTTGTTTTCATAAATCTGTTCTTTAACCATGATTTTAAGCATAGACAAAGCACGCAAATCCAAAATATCAGAAAACCGTCCAGAGCCAGCAGCCGTCACAAATCAACTTTGGGTATCATCATTTTTCTTCAGTTTTATGTGTGCGTGTGTGTCGGTGTGTGTGCTGAGTGCGTTGTTGTAACTTTTTATTTTCGTAACTATGCACACACTCACCATTCTGTTTTGGAATCGGTGGCCCGCTTCATTTGTCTATTTTTCGTATGTTTTTGTGCAGACATTTTCGCATTGTCTGCTTTTATATTCACGGCTCGACTCTTTACAAACAAGAAATTCTTTGGCTGCAACTAAAATGAAGAGTAAACGAGCGACATTGCCCGAACAGAAAAAGAGAGACAGAGCAAACGAGAAGAAAGCACGAAAAAACACAAAAAAAGAGCAAGTGAAATCGTAAAAATGGAAGCTGTACGTTAGCTGAATGGTTAAAGTTAATAAAAGCAAATGCAAGAGCCTCGGCGCACATACGGAAGAGCAAAATCTAAAAATGATTTATTGTATTACCGGTTGAAGTTGAAAATCACTTTAGTTCGTACGGGATGTGCGTGCAACGTTCGCAAATAGATTTTTAGTTCGTTGTTCGACTCTGGTACACATTCCTCGGTTCCATCATTTTTTTCCGTTGGTATTGCTATAGCTTTCGACTTTCTCTCTCACCAGCCCTTTTTCATTTCGTTCTCTGTCAGACGAATATGTGGATTGTGAAGTCATGTGGCCTTTTGTCATGAAAACGCGATGGGGATATAAATAAATTCGCTTTTTTTGCAATTGGTCAAACAGAGACTACATCTTAGTAAGTGGTACCCATGTTCGTTTCGTTGATGTCAGCTTTAGAATAGTGAAAAACAAGATTTTTTCCTCGTCTTTTGAAAAGTGAAACATAAAAATATAAATGCAATAGACGCGACCAACAAACAGTTAAGCTTTCGATTGGTTGCCATATCAAACTGCATTTGAGTCAATGTGCGCTCGTTCACACAAATCATTTGGAATGGAAACTAATGCCATTTATCAAGGCTCGCTACACTTCATTTTTGATATATTTTCTACGATTTATACGTCCGAAGTTCATTTTTCTTGACGCTTTTATTGTCTCAAAAAATTGAATAAAAATGACCACACATTTGACGGCAACATGAAAAGCATTTCACAATTTTTGCCCATTTTATACACTTCTTACTTTTGCAATATAGAAGTATATATATATATAAATATATATTCTCGGTACTTAATCTAATAAAATATAAATCGTGATTCATTGAATAGAACTGACTGTTTGCGTTGCCTTGCGATTGCGATTGTTATGATTCGAAACTGACGTCTGGTTCATAAAAGCAATTCCTCCCTCGACATCTTGTGAAAAAAAAAATCGAAATTCAATTCAAAATCCAGCATAAAAATTGTGTCCCAGCTCTTAGCCAGGGGAAAAAACATGTAAAACGATTGAAGTATATTTCCAAATTGATATTTTGAGAAATAGAAATGTCAATCGTATTTATTGAATTGTTGAGCATAAAAATAAACGTAAGTTGTAACATTAAATCTCGCGTCATGGCAACACACACTCACATACAATCATTCAATACAACGATATCACCAAGCGCAAAGCAAATGCCAAGCACTCTCGCCTATTGAATAATAATAAAATCAACAACAAACTGCTCGGAAATCAAGCAATGGCATTCCATTAAAATCTAATGAAAAATGAAGATAAGTGCGACGAGCATAATTTAAAATCCGATTATTTCATTTGGTATTTGTTTATATGAACGCTCTAGAATAAAAACAACTTATTGTTTACTCGCATATCGAAACGGAACTCAAAACGGGTGCATATCAAAGCGAGACAATATTTAGTTATCATAGGAATAGAGAACATTGACTTTTTATTATGCGAAATATGTAAGTTTCATTTTGTGCTGATAACTAGCTACTGTTCTGCCTTGTTTTAGTAACAGAATTTTGTTTCGCTTTGATATGCGACGCAGTTTAACGATATAAATATTTCACACTCTCGAAGGCTCGGTATAGAACACACAAAAAGTGAAAAAAAAACTTCTTATTCTCAAATTTCATATACAATCAAATGGCTTGTACCAGCGATTTTCACTTTTCATGCTCTATACCGAGTCTCCGAGAGCTTCATATAAACTCGCCTTGCAATAGTCAAATGACGCCTATTGATTCCATCACGATTGATATTCGCTTAGTATTCAATAGGCATCACATAGCAAGTTTATATGAAACTCTCGGAGACTGGGTATAGAGCACTCAAACAGTGAAAAAAGTCCAGATCGTGATTAAGATGATATGGAATGCGATTTTTTTCATTCTGATTGAACCAGGTGATACAGAAAATTGAGTAGAATTTGAGAATTGAAGAAAAAAAATTTAATTATTTTTTTCATTTTTCGCCAATTTTTACCATCTATATGGGAAGCTTGTATGAAAAACACGGAAGACCGCTGAAATGGCACTGTCGTACGTCCGCACATATTTTGCATTTGTCATTTCAGCGGTCTTCCGTGTTTTTCATACAAGCTTCCCATATAGGTAAGAATTGGCGAAAAATGAAAAAAATAATTAAATCTTTTTTCTTCAATTCTCAAATACTACTCAATTTTCTATATCACCTGGTGGAATCGGAATGAAAAAAATCGCATTCCATATCATCTAAATCACGATCTGGACTTTTTTCACTGTTTGAGTGCTCTATACCGAGTCTCCGAGAGTTTCATATAAACTTGCTATGTGATGCCTATTGAATAGTAAGCGAATACCAATCGTGATTGAATCAATAGGCGTCATTTGGCTATTGCAAGGCGAGTTTATATGAAACTCTCGGAGACTCGGTATAGAGCATGAAAAGTGAAAAAAAAATCTGATTTTTTTCTCAATTTTTATGCACAACTAAATAGCCTATATCATCTGGTGCGACTGATTGTAAAAATTTGCTATTTCTGTCACCCAAATCGTTGTTCAATACTATCTAACTCACCCTTACATGTTATTTCTCAATGCATGGCATTGTGTTTACAAACAACGTTCTATTGACACACAACTGCGCAATAAAAATTGCTGATACAATCCATTTGATTGTTTATGAAATTTGAGAATAAAAAGTTTTTTTTTCACTTTTTGTGTGTTCTATACCGAGCCTTCGAGAATGTGAAATATTTATACCGTTAAACTGCGTCGCATATCAAAGCGAAACAAAATTCTGTTACTAAAACAAGGCAGAACAGTAGCTAGTTATCAGCACAAAATGAAACTTACATATTTCGCATAATAAAAAGCCAATGTTCTCTATTCCTATGATAACTAAATATTGTCTCGCTTTGATATGCACCCGTTTTGAGTTCCGATTCGATATGCGAGTAATCAATAAGTTGTTTTTATTCTAGAGCGTTCATATGCTGTTTTCAGTTTTTCTTCGCAACAGAAAGGAGATTAAAAAAATCCACGAAACGTAAAAGCAGATAACTTTGCTTTGAATTCGTAATGTAATTTTCTTGATTTTTTCCCCATATTTTTGTTTGTTGTTGTTGTGCCATTCTAAAATGGGAAGCAATAATCTCACAGTAAATTCATCCCGAACCAAATTAAATGAGTGAGCAGGATGATGTTTTTTTACTCGCTATCAGACTTATGGTACAAAGCATTAAAAATTATGCACGGTATTCTTGTGACCAGTGGAGCGCTTTTGCAAACAAAATCTGACAGGATCAACTACTTGTTAATTACCTTTTACACGAGTGCCATCTTTTCTTCTGACAAATAAATGGTGAAAAATGCGACGGAAAAATATTTACTTTGATCAGCCACAAAATGGCTGAGATTCACAATTTATTAAAGAATTTTTACAGTTTGATTACATTTCGTCTGCAAAAAATAAGAGAAAGAGTGTTTTCTTCTCATTTTTGATGCATGTAAATAAAAAAAAAATTCATTTCGTTTTTCACGAATTTCCAGCCGGAAATGAAATCTAAATAAGATTTCAAAATGCGACGCAACTGAAAATGATGGAAATTTATTATTCGGTGAAAAGAGTTGGAGATTCACCTGAGTGTGCGTGAAATGTCATTTCATATTTAATATTCGTGAAAATCGAAATATTTTGACAACATCACGCGCCACATGGTTTGTTTGTTATGATGCGCCTAATTTACCAACGAATCTGGAACGCGCAGCTGTTTTAATATGATTTCAATCTAACCATTTGTATGGCGGTGTCATATCCTCATTATTAGATGTCTTCATTTTACAAGTTTGCTTTTTGCGTTCCGTTGTTGATTCACGTTTCCGTATTCCTGCCACGCGATTCCGGCCGCTTTTATATATTTCGATGTTTTACATCCTGCGCCTTTTTATTTGGGGGGCTCCCTTAAAACGAATCAAACACGCGCTTATAAGATCTCACATTCTGGCTGAACGGAACGCGTAACATGCTTTTTCCTTTTTCACGAATTTTAGACTAAGATTACATTTTGAATTTCAACAATTATATTTCCAATTAAAATGAAAATCCAATCAAAACACACGCGCTTTCATATGCTCACATTTTCAATCTTTGATTTCCTTTTATCACTCTCTTTCATCGTGTGCACTCATTTTACTTTGATTAAAATTGTTATCGTTAGAACTGCGTTTCCCCATTCTCTCTACCTTACTTCCACCCGTTGTTTTTGTTTATCGAAGTTCCAACAGCTTATGCGAAAAGTCATTAAAGACATTCTATATAAAAAGAGATACTTCTTAAGTAAACCGCCTTCATACACAGATATTCGGATTTGACGAGACTATAAACAAATTTAACGACTATAAAAGCGTAAAAAATGAATTCAATAACATTTAAATACTGATGAATTACGTGGCTTTTGTGAATGGTTTTCACCGACATTTTTATGCACTGAATTTCCATCAATATCAAGTAATCACCTAACTTCTCAATGGAAATTCATGCCATGGATGTATTGAAATGCAATGAAAAGATTGAGTTCTTACTTGCGATATAAATCGAGCCATTTAAATTGTGAAAGAGTCTTGACTTTTGTCATTAATTCAACCTTGAGCTCAAATAGATTAATTTGATAGTATTTTAATTTAGCCCGAAAAACTTATTACCTCTTCGATAAACATCTCCAGAGGTAAAATATGTAATTCGAGTGATTTGCTGGCTTTCACATCGCAAATTTGACATTGTAAGTGAACTTTATTCGATCCGAAACGAAAGTAAATACCATTACATCCATTTCATTTGTGTGGTATTATTTTTCTTTTCTTTGTCTCTTGAGATGGCTTTCGTCTGCTAAATCAGGCGATTTATCTGTCCAACGCATTTCTAAATTAAAACCGAAAACAGAGAACAAAAACTGAACTTCTTCATGTTTCGGTGCTTTTCAATTGTCTAGTCATCTTTTGATTTGGTCAATGGTCAATCAGTGAGTGTGTGTGTGTACGTTTGTCGACTTACGTCTTTAAGTTTGACGTGTATGTGTGGGCTCCGATAACGGTATACTTGGTTTTTGTTTATTTTTGCAGGGATTTACTTACGTTGCGAATGAAAAAGCTGTTGAATTTTGTTTGTGTATCAAGTTTCTGTGGTCGTGTGATTATCATCATCAATCGTGTTTGTGAGCTAAAGCAATGGTTTTTGTGTAGCTTTTTTCGTTCGCACTGCGGTCGTTCGTCTTTGATTTCGACATTTTGATTGAGAAACTTTAGATGTGATAGAATTCTATTTCTCGAAGAGAAGATGCCGATGGGTTGTTTTTTGTCGCATTTTCTTAAGGTTATTGTGTGAGTGTTTGTATCAATCAATGTGTTAAGCTGTTGTGTCTTCATCGTCATAGTCTTGGCCAGTCCACCGCATATCACGAAGCATTAATCTAATTACACGCAACTGTTGAGTTGATCCATAAAACGAAAAGAAAAACATTGAAATGAAACAACCTTTCAGCAAATACACAGCCCCAAACCCAAATCGATTAAGCAAACACAGTAACTTCTTCTCTTCGACTTTCTCGTGACCGATTTCAATTCAATGGTCAGTTTTCCATGAAAATTTTCGGGTTTTTTTTGCTGCTTCGTTTCAAACTAAATACGGTCCATGGAATATAAATATTTCAAAGAAAAGTCACTTTTATCAATCACGTGTCGAAACACCTTCTCAATTGAGTCTCCGTTCGGCTTAGGTACGACAATCTCAGAACATAAATAAATAGAAAATGGAAAAGAGTTTTCATGCCATACTGAAGTTGTGACGCTGATTTGCCCAGGAGATTAAAGGCCGGCTTTGAGCCGGTGAACGGTTAAATCGCACATACCTTCAATCAGATTAAACCTCATGCAAACATCAAACAGTCTGGTGAGAGAAAACTGCGTTTGGTTACGACATTTTCAATTGCCTACTTATATATATATATATATGTATTTAAAGATTACTTTCGAAATAGATGACCATTTGATACACTTAATCAGCTTGCGTCAATTGTGTAATATCGTTTATTTAATGTTTGAGACATTTTATTTGGTTTTCTTATCAAAACTAATGATTTATTTTCTTTTCTATTCACAGAATTTCGATGCCAATTTTCGGAACAATTCAATGCTACAAACATCGGCAATAATTGCCGTTTGTTCGATTTGTGTGCTATTAGTCATTCTATTTTCATCACTGTTCCTGTGGAAGTAAGTACTTTTTTCTCTTTTATTTTTTTTCATCGAATGAAAAATATAATAGATCCCAAAATTCAAATAAATCTTTTCGAAGACGAAAAACAAAATCGTGACCTAAGATAAAGTGAGCGCCGAAACGAATCGTTAAAGTGACAAATATGCTCTTATTTCGTTTCAATATTTGATTTTATCGATTGTGCAAAGGACAATTTGAATTGCTTTTTCTTCGCTGACACATCTGCACACCGAAAGTATTACAATCACAAAAGAACGAAACAAAACGAACAAACATTTAACGCGATTTTCTTCACAAACTGTGTCACATTCGCATATATTTTTTATTTGGCATTTTCTCTTTCAGTTGCCTCTAATAATAAACACAAAATAAATGCTTACTTTGCAAGCATATCGGAGTAAAGCGCGAGCAAAAGAAAGAAAGAGGGGCAGAGAGAAATATATGCAAAGAGAACGAAATGATAGTGGCACATTCACATATTTATCGTAAAATGAATGAGAAAAAAAACTGTAAAGTAGAATCGATCGAGAGCGAATGCAACTGAAATTGAAAACGGATACCAATCATTGCCAAAGACGATGATGGCATTTTTCTACATCAAAAGAACGGATACGATGTATGAAAAGAACGAATGAAAAATACAATGGAAATCAATGGCACAGCTGAAACAAGCTGAATTCACAAAATACGAATGCAAAACAGAATGGATGCCGGAGAAAAGGAGATTTGATGACAAATTTCAATTGCAAATGCTGATTTTTGAATATTTTTTCTCAATGTTTTTTTTCTTTCTTTTCCTTCTTTGCTTCTGTTTCATCTAGTTTTATGTTGTTTACGATCGATTGACGAATATACAATGAACAAAGGGCCTGAAATGCATCATCCATGCGATTCAGCAATCAAAGTAGCGAAAAACGGGTGGCACAAGAAATAGAGATAGTCATGAAAATGGGAGTGTATGATCATTTGCACAAGAGTTACGGTAGTGAAGTATGTTTGTAAAGGAACGGTATTTTATGTTCAAAAAGGATCCATAAACATTGTGTGGAGAAAGAAAAAATCGTTGATTGGTTATTGCTTGCACTGTTTAGTTCGTTTTCCATGCGGTTTCGTTTCTCGTCTCAAATTCAGCCAATGCACATTTCTCGTCGAAATCGGTTTTCGGTTAAATGGGTTTTGAGGATATATCAGTTTGCCTGGAATGGCGCAATTGCAATCATTTTTTATGTGATATGTCATTTGCGAATTGATAGTGTTCTCGCTTGAGCTGGCCTCTTTATCGAACAATAGCAATACTTACCGAAAATGCATAGATCGATTACGCAAATAAGATGAGGGAAATTTGCCGTTGTCACAAAACGTTATATCGATTTAAAACGGTTAAATCAAATTCAAATACCATAAATTGGCATTGTATTCATGGGAATTGTCTCGATGGCTCTCTTCGGTGAATAATACATTTCTAAAAGCGCTTTGAAAAGTTATGCATGCGACCAATGCCGATTTGCCTTTTGCATTGAGTTAAGCGGTTGGTTTTTTTCTCGCTTTGAATCAATAGGAGTTATATTTCCATTTCTATCTCTTGGCATCATTGAGTTCCGTTCTGTCTTTGTGACACAAAGCTCTTACATACACACGCTCACCGGTAATTTAATCTCATGGCTCTGTTCGCTTTGCATTAAATTCTTTTTGATCCACATAAACGACATGCCGGAGGGTCTGTTTTACCTAGTTTGCCGGTTTTCAGGTCAGTGTGCATATGTTTCAATGTCTCTGGTATTAATTTTTCGTTTGTCTCTCGCACCCATGAAATTAATCCGGTAAAAACGCCGCTTACACAAACAATCGTTCAATGCATTTGTGACTCTTTTTCCTACCACCAAATGTTCGTTCATTTTGATGGTTATTTTTTTCACATTCGCTCGCGCAATCTTTGTGCCAACCAAGTTAATTTCATCGTTAAACGACGATGGAAAAGCACCATTGCAAGTGATTTCCCAGCGAAAATGTCATTAATTATGTGAATATGTACGTTTAAGTAGCCAAGTACAATCTTGAAATGGCGAAAAAACGACGCAGCTAACTTACAATTAACGGAAATTCATTCCTTGAATTTTCTTTTAACGATGGCTTTTTCTTAGCCATTCGGGGGATTTTTTATGCTTTTCACATTGATTTTCTTTTTTCGACATGAATACCATTACGTGTGCATTGGAATTAAGTCTTTTTTTCGTCGATTGCATATTTAATTCCATGAGCGTGTTTAGATTGCGAAGTGAAAAGAAGAAACAACAACACCGATTCAGGCACTTTTAAATTAAATCGAAAAATTTATCGCACCACTCAATCGACTCGTGTAAAATACCACCGAGTGAGATGGAATCAGATGGGATGAAATTCAATTCGAGAAATGGAAAATGCGAACACCTATAATCGTGGCTGCGTTCGCAAAAGGTGATTAAAAGTTAAAGCGATTGGCAAATAAAAATACGTAACAACACTTTATATCCGATGCAATGACATTTCATGAAATCGCCGGATAAATAGCACATTCGCGCCAATGTGTACGCACTACTTTTCGAAAATTGATGCAAACCTATTATTGCCATCACATTTAGTTGAATGCTTTTGCAGTGGTAGTTTTCCGCTAACCGACTTTATCAGCACATGGTGTATGTGTGTGTTTGTATGTGTTGCATTGTTACGTCTAATCCACATACGATATCGTTTGTTTGTTCATTGTGTCAAATGTATGTGCGTGTAAAAAAAAATATAAATAAGTTTGCTGCTTTTAATTAAACAACATCTAGAACATGGAGTGCTCTGAGAACGTGGATCGAGAAAGATTTTTCGTTTGAATGCAAGGACCATGTACCAGAGCAAAGTAAAAATTACATTTCATGTAGAATTTTTTTCGTTGGCTGTGCGAGAGAATGAGAACCTTAAATGGTTTCTTTATGTAGTGTGCACAATCAACTTGAGCTCGAAAATGAACTGGACAAGAATTTCAAAACAAAAATCGAAAGAATCAATTGCTGCAATGGAAATAAGAATGACTGAATCAAACGACGTGGCTTGTTCACCATAGCACGTGTTTTCGTCATAAAAGACATTCGAAAGCAAGCATTTGGATGAAAATGCGAATTTTTTGAATTTATATTCAGATCGTTGCTTAAATAGAAAAATGAAATATTATTTCGCATTTGACGATGTCAAAACATTTCTTTTTATTGTTGCGATGGAAACATACACACTTTACGTGGGCGATGTGAAGTTTTGCATGAAAATTCTTTGCTGTCGATGGTCATTTGGATGTCAATAAAGCCACTTGATTTCTCTGTCTGTCTCTTTTTAACGCATGGTTTTTCTGATCTGAATTTCATTTCGCTATGAACATTCACGAATATCTAAGGTGAAAGATTTGCGCACAAAAGTGGCCTGATTCCTCGTGCACGTTTCAAGGCTGCCACTTGACATCGTAAAAATATCTAATTTATCGTCGATATAGATTAAGCACTTAAAACAGTTAAAGGGTTTCGTACCAAAAATCGTATCTTAAATACATTATTGCGATGAAGAAAATTGTAAAACGAATTCTATGAACACGAAAGCCGAATATTGCGTTAAACATATATTTTGCTACATGCTACGACAACGCCATCTCTGTTTCCCCATGTGTGTAGAGTATGTTCAATATTGACAAATCATTCAAACGGGTCAATTTCGTACCGCAAAAATAGCTGTCATCGTGAAAATATGTCAACAATATTATTCATTGAAATTTTTGAAATTGACTGTGCCGTGTTTATTTTTTAAAACAATTTTCAAATGCATATTTCTGTAAATCTCATTTCAACGTTTTGAAATATTTGTACAATTCTACATGAATAATATTTTAAATTTTTTAAACTGAAATGAAATTTTCAGCATAGAAACAGCTTCTGCTGCAAGACCAAAGATGTCGTTTTCGGGGGAGATTCGTGTGACGTTTTCATATAAAACATATAGCGCATTACTCGGTTAGAACACGATTGTGTATATTCCATGAATCGATTGGAAGAGAAAAACGGAAACATGGTCGTCATTTGATTCAACAATGAGATACATTTGGTGTGTACAATTAAATGAAAATCCCAGCGATTCATTTACACCGGAAGGTAGCCCGTTTTCATTACAGTTTTTTATTTTGTTTTACGTTGGCGAAAGAAGCTTGTGCTCACACCCTCGTTACCATCCATTGCGAGTGTTTTCAATTGGAAACAGCATTTATTTTGTGAAAGGCTATGTTTTGAGTGGCCTGGAATGTGAGTATTTTATCCCATTCAAATCACCAAGTGAATATGAGACGCTGACATTTTTATTTCCGAAACATTTCTTTCCATTACCGACGCTTAGCCCATATCACTTAATGACACGGCACTTTTTCCCCTCCCCTCCGTTTCTCTTTGCCTCTCTCTCTCCCTCTTAGTTGACATTCATTTTGTCTTCACACATTACACAAATGTCGCATTCACCGGAAGTTAATTTACTGACTCGGGGATTTTTGTCATCGTTTGGCGTGCAAATATATTTCATTAAACCGTTATTTATGGAACAATCAATGGGATATTTATACGAACGGTTGTGTCACTGATAGCTTAACATGCCGAAATTATGGCGAAAAAGAGTGATAAGAGACGGTCAACGCCAATGCTCTGGCATAAGAGCAAAAGTAGATAAGCGGCATAAATCACATACACGTTTGGAAATGAGAAAATGAGAAAACGCATAAAGTGACAAAAATTACTGGCTGCAAATCCGTTGTGCAAATTAAACAATGCTTTTGCGTGTGCTGTCGAATGAAAAAAAAATCCTAATCAAATGAGCAAAGTTTTGGAGGGCCAAAAAAATAAATATGGTATGCGTTACGCGCACACAACAACAATATTTGTTATAATAAAAACTGGCAGCGATCGTACGCCCACAAATTCACTGAATTATTTAATACCATGTGTTG